GAAAAACCACGCGATGAAAACCGAGAAGCTACACAACCATCCGCAGAACAAACCCGATAGAAGACTCTCACAGAGGGAACCTACCCCTACTACCTGCAAAGGACGCATCCACTTATACATTCGCACTGAAGGATTGACCGCTTGATTTCTCTTTACCCTTAAAAGAAAAAAATAATAAAAAAAAAGGGGGGGAGACGGAAAGAAAAACAGAAAAAAAGAGAAATACATAAACAACAGCTTTCCTATCAACTTTACACAAGCGCCAACTTTGATTTTACGCATTTTATTGTTTTATCTATTTTAATCTGTTTCGCTCCTTATTATGAGGTCTCGCAGTTGCGACTCAAAATTCGCACCTAACCCCAACACCACCTTTTTGTTTATAGAAACATGGAGATCGAACACCTCGATACTCAAAAACTGAGCCGCTCGCCGTTTGCTGTTAAAATAGTAAAGGTGTTTTCGCCTACGCTAATTTGGATTCACTTGGAAAATAGTAAAGAATCCTTCCAAAATATGATGGAGGACTTCAACCAGCGGATGAACAAACGCCGATTTTTCCACTCGAATACAAAACTAGGTGACATTGTTGCCCTTGAAACAAGAGGAGGATGGCAACGCGGCATCGTTACGAAGATAAACGGAGATGAGACAGTGCAGATAGGCCTCCGAGACTGGGGCGTGTATGTTCGCCATGCAATAGCTGAACTCTACCATCTCGAGGAGAGGTTCAAAGAATATTACTGGTAAGCTGTGCCATGTAGCTTAGCCTACACAGCCCCCGCCACTACAGGACCCACATGGTCTCGTAGGGCCATAAATGTCACTCGAAGCATCACAGAACAGCAAACCGGAATTATGCAGATAATCAAACCAATTCGGGACGAAGGTGCACTCATCAAATTAGATATCAAGAACGAAACTAACAACGTCTACCACAACCTCAGAGACTTATTAATAGAATTAGGAGTTGCGCAAAAAATTGCGAATATAGCCACACACACCGTACCATCCGCGTTGAGCTAAAACGCATAAGAATATACACATAATTAGTGCTATAATACACAAATAAT